TGATGAACAAATTATTTAATTATTAAATAATTCTGTATTTTTTTATGGGGGGGGGGTGATCTATGTATAGCTGTATCATCCCTATAATCTTTGTTGCATTCTTTTTGACACTGGCATCCCTACATCATTTTACATTTACAAAATGTTTTTTATTACTTGTACATCCATAATATGTTGCTTATAATAAGTTAATATCAATTATGAAAACAACAACTTATCAGCTATCTGATATAAAACAATTTTTGAAAATAACTAGAGTATTATTAAGCAATAAATTATAAAATTTCTGCATACTAGCTATTGTTTGTTATTAAGCACAGAACTGCAGAATGGATTATCTGTGCTATGTCAATGCAAGGATCGAACCCTAAATTGTAGCGTTATAAAAGTTCGAGTTCAGTGCTGAGCCACTGTGGAGAAAGGCTGTACACTAGCTAAATATTGTTTTTTTATATGCATTTAGCGCAAAGCTAAACAATGTTCTTGCTCCACTTTACTCACCAGGGGGAGATAAAAACCTGTGTTTTAGTATTTAATCCCTGAGCCACTGGGGGTGATAGGGGGGCACTATCTAGACTCTCAATAAGATATCTGTCTTTTTTTTTTTGGCTGTTAGATGTTGCGCTTCTGTTAATCCTTTTCTTCCGAAGTTTTAACTTGGGATCGAAATATAGCGAAAATTTTACCTTACCACCTTAAGCCTTTGTGTCTAACCGAGAAAACCAAAATATAAAGTAGGTCTCAGAAATCGATCAAAAAACCTTCAAACGAAAATAAGTGTCATCCCATTAATATTTCTTTAGAGACATGTTGATTTATTTTTGTTGATACACTTTAATTAAAGCCTCAACTTTACGCCCTTATCGTTTTAGGATACAGTTCAACAACAAAAGCAAATAATTTCATTTAATGATAGTAGCAAGAAACGTATTTTATATTCATAATAATAAAACTACGTGTTACTAAGCACATTGTTTTGAATAAAATATAATTGTTAATTTCAATATTAACCGAACTAACGCTTAACATCCTTTAGGTGGCTTTAGAGGCCTCAAAAAATAAAAACAGGCGGTTTATTTATGGGTAGGTCTGAAAACTGATGAGCAAACATATAAATTACAAAGTGATTTATATTCCAATACTAACTCTACACAATACTTACGAAGTTTCGTTGTTTTCAAAGACAATGTCTCCTTGAAGTTCTTCAAAGTCCTTGTTCTTCTTACCAGTCCCTTCTACGGTTCTGAATGGTACAATCACTGTACCACGGGCACCGCTGTACCGACACACTTTCAACGCGTAAGTTCCGACAGATTCCGAGGTCTCGTGCTCCATTTCGGGAAATGCAAATATTCCACTGTGGTCATCATCTAGAATCATCACGGTGGCGAGGTCGGCTGCGGACAGCGTGACGGGAGGACGCAGCCCCGTGCTACCGATAGAACCATTCATTGAGCCAACAGGACCATCCGAACCCATGTATCTTGGGTTAATTAACCGCACGTAAAAGTGTTCGTCCTCTTCAAACACTTCGTCATCGATGACCGTGATATATATTTGTTTTTGGGCTTCTCCTGGGCGAAACACCAGCGTGCCCTCCACGTGTTCGAAGTCTGAACCAGCATTGGCAGTTCCATCTTCTGTCTGAAAGTCCACACAGATTGCATGACTCAGTTCTCCTTCTCTGATGACTGTGACAGCGAATTCTCCCACATTCTCCATTACTGTGTAATTACAAGGGTCGAAACCAATAGAAATCACTTCTTCTTTTTCTGCAATCTCCTCCCCTTTCTTGGCTTCCTGTCTTTCAAACTTCCGTTTCATGAGGTTTCCTCCTCCAGTTAATTTCCGAGTAGCCTGAATGCGATAATAGGCCCGGCTCTTGGGGCCACGGTTAAGGATTTCTTCGCGAGCCATCAACTCCAAATCTTCAATTGGACAGTCAGGATTCTTGTGACGAAGTTCTCGAAGAATGTTGATGTATTCTCTTCGGTGTTCTTCGAATTCACGCACTTCTTCATTCCCGTCTTCTTCAAACATTTTGATGTCCCCATCAGGCAAGTTGTTAGCCTTGATACTTCCCATCTCGAGATCCTCTCTTTCAGCTCCTACGATCATTCCACGCTTGTTCACCCGATATTTCTTGGAGAGATACTTGTAAATCAAAAGACGTCGGTCAGCAATGTAGGCCGTTAGGACAGTAGCGGGGAAGAAGAGAAAAGTTGTCACACCCTCCCATACTTCAATCACCCCGTAGGATGACCAGGTCAAGATCAGATAGAGCCAGATGTATGCAAAAACACTCCAGGTCATGGTGACAAAGAACACTCTCAAGTGTTTGATTTTTCTACTCTCGCCGTCAGGGATAGAATAAACACAGATGGCAATGATTACAAACATATTAAATGCTGCACTACCAACTATAGTTCCTGGGCCAAGTTCGCCTGCTTCAAAGTTCTGACCGTAAACTTCAATGATAGAGAGGAGAATTTCTGGTGCTGAAGAACCCAAAGCCATAAGAGTCAGGTTAGAAACTGTTTCATTCCATATTCTAACACTAATGGTCTGTTTCTCACCATTCGGTTTTTTAATGACAACTTCTTTTTCCTTGGATGTAATAACCTCGATTGACGCCATAAAACGATCAGCTATTATCGCCACGCCCACAAACATGTAACCTAGACTGACAAAGTACACAATTCCCCTTGCTATTACGTCCCCAGTACTTAGATTCTCAGCAGGAAGCCACAATGGTAATAGCAACCCTTCTTTGCACTTGGTAGAATTGTCTTCTGAAGCCATTGTTGGCGGAATCATAAAGAACCATAAAAATAATATACTGACACAAAACCAGAGAGCCCAGACACTACCTCTGTTCATTGTGACAACTCTTTTGACTTCCTTCTACTGTTGAATATTCTCGATTCTCTGTTACGAACAGTTTCTAACTCGTCACTTCCGTTGTTTTCTTTTTCATTGCTATGTAGATGACTCAAAACTGCATTCCTAAAAACACAAAATAAAACCAGTAAAACCTCTTTAACCATTAACTTAACCATACAGTAAAATATTTGTTTTTTACTTTAGTTAACCCTGTTTTGAATCCGTGTATTATAAAGTATATATATATATATATGTTGAAGTCCTTTCCTACTGTTGTAATAACATAAATGACGAAACGTCAAACTTAATTTGGTAGGATAAATGTTTGTTCCTAACGCTCTTTCTTTAATTCTTCGTTTTGTTAATAAGGTGACCGACACGCGCTATACAAGCGTCAAGAGGATGTTAGAGTAATTTTCTCCATCCCAAGGAATTATTTTTGTCGTACTTTGATAGGAGGGGGTTGGGATGACCAATTTCTTCTGCTAGTGTCCCAGTTTCTTACCTAGGTTGTAGTCTGGGGACCGATATATGACCCGTGGCCCAGTTTCTTACCTAAGTTGTAGTCTGGAGACCGAAATTATATGATAGGGTAAAGTATGTTCAGAATACTTGCTTAATTTAAATTTTTATTCCTACTGTCTACTATAGTCTCTCAGTAAATTATATGATTTTAAATAAATAGCTGAGTTAACATTTGAAGAAAGATTTGTTTGGTCATTGTTTCATTTTATATTTTTGTTTTGCTGTTTTGCCAGTTTGGTCAAAATAAGGTATGATAAAAAATATATAAAAACACGAGGCCGGAATCCGGCCCGTGGGTTGCCAGTTTGCCATCTACAGTCTAGAACATTCTGGGTGGCTTGTTTGTTTGAAAGTAAACACAAAGCTACACAATGGGCTGTCTGTACTCTGCCCACCACGGGTATTGAAACTCGATTTCAAGAGTTGTAAGTCCGCAGACATACCGCTGTGCCACTGGAGGTGGGGGTAGGAGCATTCTGGATGGAAAGAAAGCTATAACATTACAGCCAGGACTGGAGAGATGGTTGAATTACCTAAGCGTACTCGAACAAGTTGTTGTCTGTATTGTGGACTCTAGATGTATTATAGAAGCGGGCTTGTACGAGTTATTGTCTGGACTGTGGACTCTACGTTTACTTTAATATCTATGTTGAAGTTGAAAAGCTTATTGTGGATAACTTGGGAATTATTCGAGAGCGGAAAATGGCGACAGTGTAAGGTCAACAACCGTCTATATAATAAATTTTCTGAAGTCTTAATAAGGAAAAATCACGACAAGCCAGATTATTATTTGTTGATTTATGTAAGTGACTTAAATCGTTGTACTTGTGTTTTGAATCTGTTTGTATTTTTACTAATATGGCTGTTAGATATATCTATTCATTAAAGCCAATTCAAGTGTTTCTTATTAATTGCTTGTTGTTACTTCGCACAGCAGTGTGAAAGTACAAAATGTATAATGTTAAATCAAGCAGAAAAGTCAATATTTATATCTTTCACAGCTACAAATCATTCGCGTTAACTCAGAAGAAAAAGTGTTCCCAAAATTGCTGATGAAAGATAAACTACATTCTACTAAGTAATAATTTTATGCTTAAGAACTAAAACAACCTTAAAACGTTAACCACCACAGATTACAGCAATTTAACACAATCTAACTTATATAAATGATCCTATACTGAACACGTGGCCTAAAATCCAGAAATAATTCTTCTTTTCTGTTGAAAAAAATGAAACTTATTATTTCAGAGACACGAGTTATAGTTTGATAACTGTCAAGTTTTACAAAATCGCGATACTTTACAGCAGGTGTCTGTGACTTTTTGGCGATAAATTTCAACAATAAACGGACAGCACACAATGCACTTGTTTTAAAATAATATATTGAAAACAAGTGAAGCATATGTTGTATCCAGACCTTTAAATATTTGTTTCTTTTTCGTCAAAGTCCACACAAGCGGGTTCAATTACCTTAGAACGCCCTTTGACAAGACAAATTATTCTCTTCAACTTTGTTATTACAATAAAATCAGCGATAAATTCTCTTACGTTACCCCGTGGGTTACCACAGTTGTATCCAGAGCTTTAAATAATTATCTTTTAGATCAAAAGTCTACATATGCTGGTCCATTTATTTAGAACACCCTTTTACAAGACAAATTATTCTTCTCTATCTGTGTTATTTGAATACAAACTGTGAAACTCACTTTAGAAACCGCCCGTTAAGTCTAATTCACACGCAGTCTAACATCACTTTCACTAACTTAACTTACTAGCACTAACTTGTTCGCCTATATACATATATATATATATATATATATACATTTCCCAACTGAGGTCTAGAACTTTCTACAAACTTCTAGACGTTATGATGTAACAACGCTATTAAAGCAACGAGACAAAAACAGAAGGTTCGAGTAACATGACGTCAATTCACAACAATTGAACTACATAACAAATGATTCGTAAACAGTTACGTGAGCAAATCTGTCATAACTATTGCTTCTAAAATAACTTACTTTTACGTTCACACTATATAAACTAAATAGTACTCTCGTATTAAACCAATAATGAACAGTCGTGTATATCGAACAATAACTAACAAAATGTAAAGACGACAAGATAATATTGATATTACTAAATTTCACCAAGAAACGTTATTTGTTAAACCAAACTGGTTGCTCTTCTCTCTCCCGTAAAAAATGCCATTATTGGAAATATGAACTAAGGGAAAGGACAAAAGCATTGCAATTCCCAATGAATTATTTTGTAATCGGAAGAAGATACTTTCAACATACAGAGAATTAATTCTATAATTGCCAAACTAATAGATATAGCAGCTATTCTCTTTTGTCCTCATTTAATGATAATTTATACAACTTCAATCATGTTGTCCCTAAAAGCCATATTCAGATTATCTATTAAAATATTAAAACACCTTGCGTCATCTAATGTCTAAACAGTACGAATATGCTTTAAACAATCACGATGTTAGGAAAACACGTGGGTTCAAGAAATCAGTTTAACACAAAAATGGAACCTTTCTTCTTCGGGGGCAAACCAAGAATTTTGTACAAAGTAGCGCAAAATTAATACCCTTCCTTCTTATGAAATAAATGAAATATTTTTATATCACCTCATTTTACTTACAAACAAGAAGTAGTAGCGAGAAATGAATATGAGGAAGTTCAGTAGGAACGATAGTTTTCAAAGACGTGGGTAAGAAGAGATAAAACACAATTATACGTAAGTTTGCTTTAATCAAGCATTTGTGGTTAAAACTTTTAATAAAAAGCTTCCTTAAGTACATGTGTGGATTATCAAATGGCGCGAAAAAGATAAATGTGTGTTTCGTCAATTTTTATTCCAAGTGGTTTTACAAGTGTACTGTTATTTTGTAACTTAATCTGTGTATGCCTAAGACGGTCGTTACACAAATGTCTGCATAATAAAGTTTGCAGGTAAAAATCGAAACCAAAACCTTTAAGAACTTTTAAGAACACGTAGACCCATTATAAGTCAATGAGAATAGTGTTCAAAAAATTAACCAAACTTATATAACTAATACACCTTCCTTAGAAGTTCAGGAGAAAATTGGATATCCATAACAAATTTTATGCTATAAAATTAACCAGCTTATGGTTTTCAAAGAGTTACTATAAAAATATGTTATAACTCAGTTTTTACTTTTTTCACATCACGGTGTGTCGCTATGTAATTTAACAATCTTTACAAACTTTACTTAACAATCACAAGAAAATTTTGTTCTGTTTGAAAAAAACAAACAGAAAAAAAAGTGGAAAATATTAAATTAAGTGAAGCCTAAGTACACTGCAGCTTAATGTTACATGATTGTTACTTCCAATTTTTCATTCTTATTTGTTTATAGTTTTTAATTTTTTTTTCATTTGAAATTTGCAACCTAAGCGTTACCCTATGCGATACAGAAGCTAAACGACCAGGTCAGGAACCACAAAGGTTCAGGCATAGTCGTGCCTTACTTAGAACAAACAGAGGTAGGGTAACCAGTCAGAAACAACTGACACCTATGCAGCTACTTTTAAACTAATAGCAGTATTAAATGTCATAATTACAAAGTTCCTTAATTGAAAGTGCAGAATATGCTCAGTGACATATCGATCTGCAGCTCAGCACGCTAACTAACAGGCCACCCTTTTCACTTTAGAAAAGAAAAATTTTGGTTCATTACATATACATACACACACACACACACACATATACATGGATGATACATTTATACATAGATCATCCCTACATGACTTTCAATACAAAAATTAAATGTTACTCTGTAAAATGCACGAGTATAAATTGGTTACAAAGTCGGTCAATTCGGACGACCTCGTAGCGAGAGTCTCTAATAATCAAGATATGTTTTGACCCAACTTAGTTTTTCTTTTAGGTAAGTCCCAGGCTCTTAATTACACTACATTGATACCTACTCTTACATGACCATGATATTATAATAAACAAACTGTATACCAACAGACAGGAATATATAACTTCCAACTGCAGTATATTAAAATCAAGTATGCATTTTAAAATTAACATTAAATTTTAATATTGAAATTCGTGTAAGGATGATCTATGTATAGCTGTATCAACCGTATATTCTTGTTTTCATTCTTTTTGGCACTGCAATCCCTACATCATTTTACATTTACAAAATGGTTTTATTACTTGTTTTGTGACGATTTTCCCCTGATTGAAAGTTAGCGTATTCTGTGAATATGTGTAATAAAATTTAATATTATGTGTAATGACTTTTTTTACTCCTTCACTTCATACATAATATAGGGTTGGCTCCCTAAAGACACCGTTGTATAGTGTACAAAGCATTGAATATTCTACATGTTACAATTATCTAATACTCATCTGTTATTGGCTAGTAATTTCTCTTTCACCCCGTATTTAAGCTTTTTAAAGGAACACCATATTTCTATCAAAAACCTAACTTCAAGGGGTAATGAAAACATCGTTTATGCTAGAATTATCATTATTATTTTAATTAATGTTAGTTATTACGACTGAGCGATGACATCATGCACTGTCTAGAAACACATAGAGCGGATTTAGGTTTAAACTGACGTTAGT